TTCTTTGGTCTTTGACCATTACAGACTAAATATGAGGGTCTCCAAGAAGGTAGACTAAATACAAGGGGTTAGTGAGTGGAATTCCAGGTTATGGAGATGAAAAAAAAAGGTTTGATATGGTTAATGGCTATTACTGTCATATATAGAGTGAATAAATCTGGTACCTTGAAAGCAACAGGGAATCTGTCCCCTTGGTGAGCTTTCATCTTCTCATCTATAAAATGGTGGGTACCCTCTTCAGAGTGCTGCTTTAGAAGATAGAGGTGGTAATGAGTTCAAAGTGTGTTTCACTTGGCAGATGCTTCTCTGGTTTACTTGGCAGTGGTGACTTTGAGGGGAAACAGGATATACACTGCTCATAGCAATTCTTTTTTTTAAATTAAAATTTAGAAGTGTGTCTGTGTGTCTGTGTGTATGCCATGCATATGCAGGTGCCCACAGAGACCAGAAGAGGTGTTGAGTTCCCTGTAGCTAGAGCAACAGCCGGTTGTGAAACACTGGATGCTGGCAACTGACTCAGCCCTGTAGAAGGGCAAGAAATTCTTTTAACTACGGAGCTATCTCCCTAGTCACAAGCCCCAAATTTTGTTGTTTTTGTTTCGCTTTGAGCCCTGCTGTCATGGAAATTGATAGGTCAGGCAGGCCAGCCTTGAGCCTACAGAGACACACTTGCCTCAGCCTCCAGAGTATCACCACCATGCACAGCCAACCTTCTTTTTTGCTTTTTAAATAATTTTATTATTTTTTTATGTGTATGGGTGTTTTGCCTGATACATCTATGTACTGCATGTGTGTTTGGTGCCCATGGAGGCCAGAAGAGGGACTTGGATCCCTTTGAACTGAAGTTACAGATGTTTGTCAGCCACCATGTGAGTGCTTGAAATTGAACCCAGGTCCCCTAGAAGAGCAACCAATGCTCTTAGCTCCTGAGTCATTTCTGTAGAGGAATTTTAATTTAGAACATGGCTGCTCTGGCAAGAGATCACATCCAAAGACCTTCTAGGTCTGTGTGATCCAGCTAGAATACAGGTGACAGAGGCAAGAGATCTGAGTTCAAGGGCAGCCTGGTATAGAGCAAGTTTCAGGTAAAGAAAAGCTTAGGTCCAGGTGTGGTGGTACACACCTCAAATCCCAAACAATGAAGGTAAAGTTAGTTTGTAGATGGGAGTGCTCATGTTTGAAGGTGATGTTTAATTGAGTGGCGGAAAAAATAACAAATCAGAGAAAGATTTGACAGAATAGTATATGCCCAACTCTCACAAGGAGAGGAAAGGGAAGCTACTTAAGGGGCAATGCAGAGAGGGAGAGACGAGGCAGTTTTTACCAAGACAGAAATAGATGGCTTGCAGAGAGAGAACTTAGGTGAAGACTAAGTGAGCCAGAGAGTGAGAAGAAGCCAGAAAATTAGAGCAGGTTGCTGGAGTTAGTTGGAGGCAAAGCAAAGCAATTCAGGGCCTGAGAGAGAAGCCAGATTGAATAAATCAGGTGGGAGAGGAGTTTGAACCAGAATAGCTGAGTTGAACCAGCCAGCCCAGAGCTCAGAAAAAAACAAGAAAGGATGAGCTTGTTCAGCAGTGAGTCTCAGGCTGAAAATGTTCTAGGCCTAGATTAAATTATCCAGAGACTAGAAGCTTCCAGGGCTAGGCCTAGGCGACCAGACGGAGGCAGTAAACCTTAGAGACAATTAAAACAGGTGAATAGAAATTCATTTTCCACATTTCTCCAGCCCTGTCATTGTTGTTAAAAGAGACAGAATCTCATGTAGCCCAGGCCTGCCTTGAACTTGCCAAGTAGCCAAGGATAACATTAAACTTCTGATCTTCCTGCTGGGATGATAGACATTTGCCACAACACCTGTTTTATGGGGTGCTGGGATAGAACCAAAAGCTTCATTCATGCTAGGCAAATGCTAGCAACAGCTACATATCTAACCTACAATTCATTCCTTAAAAATTTTCTTTGATGGTGGCACACGCCTGTAATTCCAGCACTTGGGAAGCAGAGGCAGGTGGATCTCTGATTTTGAGGCCAGCCTGGTCTACAGAGAGAGTTCCAGGACATCCAGGGCTACACAGAGAAACCCTGTCTGGAAAAAAAGCCCACCCCCAATTCTTTTGAGAAAATTTTATGTAGCTCAGTTTGGCCTCAAATGTATCATGTAGCCAAGGATGGCCTTGAACTCCTGATCTTTCTGCCTACTCCACCCCTCAAATTACAGGCATGTGCACTATGCCCATTTTAATCATCCATTTTTTCTTTTTTAAAAATTTACATTTTATCTAGTTTTGTATGTGTGTGGATGCAGAAGCCATGGTGAGCGTATAGGCAGCACAGGACAAGCACCTACCCACTGAAGCACCTCACTTAGAAGATAAATGCGCGCTCACTGATGGGCATATGAGTGTGCCTGGATGCAGTGTGTGAGCTGTGCGCATTATACTCCTTCAGCACCCAAGGAGGCGGAAGCAGCATCAGGCTCCCTAGAGCTCCAATTCCAGGGACTCCAAATGACTTCCAGCCACGGTGTGGCTGCTGGAAACTGAATTCTGTTCCTCTGCAAGAGCAGCCAGTGCTCTTCACTGATGAGCCATCTCCCCAGCCCAACAGTTTATTCTTAATGAGGTTATGCTATATGCCAGACATTTTTAGAAGACATTTATGTTGCCAGGCAGTGTGGCCCATGTCTGTAATCCTGGGACTTTGTAGGCTGAAGCAGTAGGATTACTTGAAATTCAAGGCCATGCAGGACTTTATAGTGAGTTTCAGACCAGCAGGGAATATATAGCAAAGCCTGACTGAAAAACAAAAAATGAGTTTTATGTGCATTTTTATTCTTACAACAGATTTGTGATGATTGTGATGTGTGCCAGTGCAGAGTCCAGAGGAGGACACGCAGTGCTCTGCTCCGTCCCGCCCTGACTGACTTCTTTGAGCCTGGACCTGGGCTGGTGACCAGCAAACTCCAGTGCCCCACTTGGCTCCACCCTCCTCCCCACAGGCATGCATATGGATATGTTTGTTTTTCATGGTGGTGCTGGCATCTGATCCTGGCCTCATGGTTGAGCAGCAAGTGAGATGTTCTCCACTGAGTCATCTCTGCAGTGAGAGATAGTTATTTCCATTTTACAGTCAAGGAAGCTGAGGTTCGGAGAGTATATAATTTGGCCAAGGTCACATAGTGGTATAAATATCTGAACTAGTATACTTGCAGAAAAGTAGCTGGAAGCCAGCAGTTTGACTGCAGTCTCTCTTCTTAGCCAGTATATCACCATTACAGATTATGAAAGCTTTATTCGTTTTGCAGCAGCCAATAAATACACACACCTGTTAGCCCAGAACTCAAGAAGCAGAGGCAGTGGGCATCTCTGTAAGTTCAAGGCCAGCCTGGTCTACATATCAAGGTTTCCAGGCCAGCCTTGACTATGTAGTGAGACCTTGTCTCAAAAAAAAAAAAAAAAAAAAAAAAAAGCAGGGCATGGTGGAGCATGCATGTGATCCCAGCATTCAGGGGTCAGAGGCAGGCAGATCTCTGTGAGTTTGTGAGTTTGAGGCCTCCCTGGTCTAGAAAGCACGTCTAGGACAGCCAAGGCTACACAAAGGAACCTATCTTGAAACAACAACAACAAAATAATAGAGATAACAAAAGTTAAATAAATTAAAAATAGGGCCAGCAAGAGGCCTCTGGGTAAAGGCACCACATCCCCGGGGCCCATGTGGAGACAGGACACCTGATTGTGCAGATTGTTCTCTGGCCTAGTTATGAGTGCTGTGTTTACGGGTTTATGTTCACACAGATGCACACAAATAAATATAATTAAAATATATGTATAAAGAGAATCCTTCTAATTCATCATCTTTGTTTCTTAATTGGAGAGTAAGAGACACCAGCGCTGTGCCTTCCTTCCCAGCACTCAGAAGGCACAGGCACAGAGATGTTGTGAGACCAGCGTAGGTACAGTGAGACCTTGCCTCAAACAAAACAAAACCAGCCAGGCATGGTGGCACAGGCTTTTAATCCCAGCACTCAGGGAGGCAGAGGCAGGAAGGAGGATCACTGTGATTTCTGCCAGCCTGGTCTACAGAGTGAGTCCAGGACAGCCAGGGCTGCACAGAAACCCTGTCTGGCAAAACCAAAAAACAAACAAAAACTAACAACAAATAAAATCCCTTCCCCTCCTAAACCTTACATGAATTCTGAGGAAAGCCCCCTATAAGGGGCTTTTTATTTAGATCAAATAAAAAAGCCAGGTAATTTTGAATTTGCAAAGAAACCGTATTCTCTCAATTATTTAAACGATTTCTTATCTGCTCTAAACTTGTTTATTGGATCCGGCCTATTGTCCCAGGTAAACCCACATTGTTTTGGTGCATAGTGCCTTTCCTAAACAGCTCAGTAGATTCTGTTCTCTTTTAGTTTAGAGCAGACAGGCTAGCAATCTATTACCAGGTCTAGGTGTTTATTTTTCCTCATTAGCTGTAATGCAATTAAACCAGAACAATGAAATTGAGAGTTTGCCTCAGATATTACCTATCACCCCAATCAACACAGTCCTATTTCTGGGATTTCTCTAGCCTCCTTTCTTGGCATGCCTTGGGAAAATGCTGTGGGGAAGAAAGCCACAAACCCTACAGCAGTAGGCGAATAAAGTAAGCTCTTTTCTGTTTTCCCACCCAGATAGGGAAAGGGAACAAGACCCTCATCAAAGAGAATTGTTAGGCGTGCCGTTCTAGAGAGCTTTGTTATTTAGCACCTCCTCCCCCAGCCCTGCGGTAATTCCTCAGAGATTGTACAGTCTCCGCTTTAAATATAAATATATATTATATATATAAAACTTCCTCGTCTTTCTTTTTTTTCTTTCTTTCTTTTTTTTTTAATTTCCTATAATAAAGTTTCCTATTGGATAAGGTCAGCTCCCTGATTTATGCCTGGCTCCTATTGGAAGCTCGCAGGGGCTGACATCACTTAGGAAAGCTAGGGTAGGGCTGCCAGATCAGTTTGTCACCACCCAGGCTCCCTTGCCTTTGGCTGGGTGCAACTTCCATTTTAGGTGTTGGATCTGAGGGGAAAAAGAGAGAGAGGGAGAAGGAGAGAGCAAGAGAGAGCGAGGGAGCGAGCAATAGGGAGGGACGAGGGGAGGGAGTGAGAGAGACGGACACAGACACGGAGGGAGAGGGAAGGAGGCAGGAAAGATCCTGAAACGAGGAAGAGGAAGAGGTGGCGAACCTCGCTGGATTTGTCTTTCTCAGCACATTGGCGAAGCGTTGGGTTTGTTTCTTAAAGGACTGGCTTTAGAAGTCCACATTTGAGGTATGTGCTTTTTTTCATGTTTTTCCTTTTATGAAAATGTGTGTATAAGTAGTTGGGACAAGGATAACCCCAGTGGAATTTTTGTCTTGATGGTAACTGGGAGGAAAAGGGCGAGAGAGCCTGTTAATGCTGACGATGAATTTTAACCAGTTACTTTTTCTACTTGTAATACTTTGGAGGTATCTTGGTATCCTGTTTATATTAAGGAAAAGGTAAAATGTAAAGACCTCGAAACAGACTTCTAGGTCTGATACCGGAAGCTGGTTAGAACCAGGGGTAGAAGTTGTGTAAATTACATTTTTGTGCGTACTTTTATTTTCTTCATTAAGCTAACATCTTTTTTCAGAGCTCAAAAAGTTGGTTTTGTTGGCATGTTGTGGGTGGGTTGGGAAAGTAGTTTGCCCTGGCCGGAACTAATTGTACAGATGGCTCTTACCATGTTTCAGAACTTGGAGCCCTTCACCTTTGAATCTGTGGCCCTGGAAGGTTGCAGGGAGCTGTAGCCTTTAAACGGTGTTGTTTTTTCCTCCGGACCGGCGCAGATGGGTCTCAGCGCTGCAGTTCCTGGGTGGATCCCTCTTTCACTCTTCCAGGTGTGGTGGGTGGGTCACCTGGTTACACAGAGCGTTTGTGCTTTGCCTTGTGAAACCAAATGGATCTAAGGCCACCACTTTTTTTTTTTTTTTTTTTTTTTTTTTTAATCCTAAAAGGACTTTTGATGGCAGAGATTTGTGGAGGTGTTTTGTGTTAAACCTGCAAATATGATGTTTGGGCCCTAAAGGGATGAGAAAATTCTAACCATGCTTTCTGTTGACTGGAGTGAGCCGCAGGACACCTGAAAGTCTTTCTGCCCTTTTGGTCGGTTGTGAACAGTCATGCAAAGAGAAACCACTTAATGAAAACTGGAGTTTGCAGAACACATTTGAGAAAGCACAAAGGGAATTCAATTTTTAAGCCTCTGGAAAGATGCTCTTTAGAGGTGTCTTTGTTTGCTTGCTGGCTTGCTCAGTTAACTTACTTAACTTAAAGGCCTAGGACTGCTTCATGTTTTATAATTGACCTTAAGGTTTGTTTGCTTTTGCTTTTTGCACATATATACCTAGAAATGTTCCGATCCTAGATAATTATATAGCCAACTCATCAGTAGCTGGAAAACAGGGTACTTCGTTTAAAGTGGGAACCAATATGGAAATAAGGTCTGGACTAGATACTGTTCTAACTGTAGCGAGATGATCTTACTGGGGGAGCTCCACATCACCTTTACACTGATACATCTTTTACTCTCCTCATCTCCTTAGTCCCTGCCCCCATTCTTTGCAGACTAGGATACTTCCTTGAATATTTTTCTACAGTGAAGACATTCCTTGCAATAAGACTTTGCCCTTGTTGGGTTGTGGCTTCTGGAGGAAACAACTTTTGTTCTTCTTTTCCTTTCCATATAATCTAGGTAAAGATTACAGAAATATTTTTGATGTTTGCACCTCAGAATTAATATAAGTAGTTGAAAGAAAAAAAGACAGTGTGTAACAGTCAGTTGGGCTCTAGTTCTCATTTCCAGTTTTTCAGTTTTCCTGTGAAATGCTTTTCCATGGAGGTATCTTGGTGGGTCTTTGGAGGGTTGGTCTGCTGCTGTGTGGGTTTCTCGCTCAGCCTTTAGGGGAGGGGTAAGAGTCTGGAGGAGGAGTACAAAGGCAGTTTGAAAATAGGTTCTGGATGACTGCTGGTGATCTGGGTCCCGCTTTGAAACTGGGCTTTGTGTAGCTGTGTTGAGCAGCTTTAGGGTCCAGGACTATTTTTACAAACTAAGGCATTGTTTGGCCTGCTGTATAGAGCCTTTTGAGGTGATAAGATGGAAGATTTTTGTCTTTTACTTCACCTTTGCTGATTCTTTCAGGAATTACAGGACAGGGTACAGATAAGTAAATCCTTTATTTTTATTATTTATATTGTTGTGTTTCTTATTTTGATTTTTGGGGTGAAAATGATAACAAATAAATATGAATTGTACTGATTTTCTTGTTTGCTTTTTATGTAATTCAGTTAGTTTCTTTGTTATCTGAATGAGGTAGTGTTCTGTGTTTCAGGTGTGTGTGGGGTCTCGTGGCTGGTTAGAGTTCTAGTGCCCTTCTTAGGATTCCAGTATGGACAGCCAGGGGCATCAGAACATGTTCTCTGCTGCCCTAAAATTTGGACTCTTGGAGGTCTTAAAAAAAGAAAAGCTTCCTGTAAATTGCATGCCAGCTCCGCAGGGATAGATGAGACAGGATGCAGGCAAATAAATTCAGCTTAGATCACTATCAATTGCAATAGCAAAATATTTAGCTCTGTATAATTTATTGTTTTTATTATGGTAGATGATGGCCCTCTGTTAGTACCTTCTAGGTCCCCCTGTAGCCTACTCTCCCTCTCATTGTTTTATTTTACTCTGTGCTAAGCATTTTGCATAGACTATTTGCCAAATGCTTAATAACCATTTTTTTAAAGGAAATTTGAGGTGCATAAATTGCAATTTGCTGAATATTTCACAATCTAAATGGTGGAGTTCAGGATTAACCCTGGTCTAACTGACTATAAAAGTCAACTAATTTAACCAGGGGTACACTGCCATTACACAGAGAGCATGGATGTAACAGCTGGGATAAAAATAACTGAAGCCTTGCTATAGGCAGGAGTGTTTTAGTAGTTACTTACAGGGACCGCGTTGGGATGGCATATGTCAGTGACTGGTTACACCCTTAGAGCAAGTGCGGTCTGCATGTGCTGGCATTAACATGTCAGCCCTGAAAGCAGGGTCATGGAGTATGCAGGCCACTGCTGCTCCACTGTTCTCTTTCCCTTTCCTTTGCAGGGCTAGGGTTCGAACTTGGGGCCTCACCCAGGCTCGGCCTCACAAGTACATTGCTACTGAGCTCATTTCTGACTCCTTCCTTCCTTCTTTCTTTTGAGACAGTGTTTCTCTGTGTTGCTAGAACTCTGTGTAGACTAGGTCTGCCTTGAACTCAAACAGAACTGCCTACCTCTGCCTCCCATGTGCTGGGACTATAGGCATTTACCAACATGTCAGGTTGCTTTATTTATTTTTCACTTCTGGGATTTGCCTCAATCTTCATTTGCTTATTAATGAAGTGTTGTCTTCCAGAGAATTTTCAGCTCTTTGAGTTGAATGATAACCACTTTCTAGTGAGAAGCTTGTAGGAGGTAGTTCTAAAAAAATGTACTTCTCAAACTTACTGTATTAAAAACTGTCTTTCACTCTAGACTGAGCTGCTTGCGTATAGGTACTATCTTATCTCTGCCCCTTTATTGGCCATCTCAGAGTCTGCTACAAACTGAGGTGCTCAGTAAGCCTTGTTTAATTAAGGTACTTGATGGAAATTAGTGGGGACTGAGAATGCTCGAATTGAGACAGGAAGCAAAACAACACGAGTTAATTTCATTCCCATGTAATTTTGATACTTTCACTGTAACCTGTTTAGATGATTTATTTGTTTACTTATTTTTGTTTACATGTATTTTGTTGTGTGGGTTGGGGAAGGTTAGGCACATGTTCTTGCTAAGCAGGTATGTAGAAATCAGGGCAGTTTGGGGATGGAGAAAATCTGTTCTATTTTCATCGTGTGGATTCTGAGGATTGAACTCAAGCCCTCATGCTTGACATCAAGTGACTTTATCCACTGAGACATTTCACCAGCCTTGATCATCTTTTTTTTGGGGGGGGGGGGGGATCTCATGTACCTGAGGATCACCTTGAATTTGAGATTCCTCTGATCTTTCTTCTGAATGCTGGTACTGTAAACATATGTCATCACATGTTTAAACAGAGTCTCTGGGAATAATGAAAGATTTTCAGGGTAGCTTTTCTTGGCAATCAGTACTGTAAGTAGTAAGTGCGTTTCATAGCTTAGTCAGCTGCTGGCTTCAGTCAGGGGAACCTTGCAACCTGTCCATTTTCTTCGGAAGAACATGGACAGCAGCAAGGAAGAACGTGTCCACCCCTGCTTGGATCAGGGCTTTATACACCACCAATACAAACACACAGAGCTTGGGATGACAGGTTTTGGTTATGAATGTTTCCAAAAAAAAATGTGTTTGTTGCCATTTTCTCCTTCCACCAAAGTCTCATTTTGGGACAGGGTCTCCTTTAGCTTGGCTGCTCTTCAACTCATCTTATTTCTGCCTCTCATGTGCTGGAATTACAGGAGCAGGCTTCCACACCTGCGTGATAGCATCTTTGCTTTTTTTTTTTTAAACACCCATGCACATAAAATAAAAATAAATAAACCCGTGTTACATAAAGCTGAAATAGGAATTGATTGACATAAAAGATGTAGCTGCCTCCAAGGTTTCCACTGATAGAGCAAGAACACTGTTCTGGTTAGAATTAAAAGGGGAAGCTAACGTAGGACTGATCTGTATTTAGTTGTGTAATTATATTTAAATCTGTTTTTGAGACAGGGTCTCATGTAGCCCAGGCTGGCCTTGACCTTGCCTAGAGCTTCCTTAAATGCTGGGCAAGCAGTCTATCAGTTGAGCTATATCCCCAGTTATTTTTTTGTTTTGTTTTGGTTTTGGTTGTTTGTTGTTTGTTTTTGTTTTTTTGATAGGGTCTCTCTGTTTTGGATCGATGGCTGTGCTGGAATTGTTGTGTAGACCAGGCTGGCCCCCAAACTCTTAACCTTTGCCTCCTTAGTGTTGGGTTAAAGGCAAGTACTACCATACCCTGCTACATCTGGTCTTAAAGAGTGTTTTCCAAGTGTTCTCTGCTGATCAGTGATAGGTAATTTGGTTAATGTTTTCACATGTCTCATGGTGGTGAAAGTAGTGTTTAAAGTTTTTATTTCAAACATGCAGAATTTTCCAAGAAAAATGTTAAGAATCACATTAACTACTCTTTACTCTCCTTCACCTTGCAACAGTTGCTTCTCTTTTGCTTTAGATGTTTTAACTATTACATAATTTTTATTAATATACCCAACCACAAAAGTAATTTCCTACTGAGA